TCTATTCTTGAAAATATTAGTGTCCAGTCACTGTCAACAATATATAGTTTTTTCACACGTTACAAATGTTATGAGTTTGAAGATTCGGTTTGTGGCCATAACAATGTACAAAAAACATAAAGAAAATGTTGTGTAAAAGAAAACGTTCAATAATATATAAATAATATTTTGTTTTATTCCAATAATTGCGTTTTATGATTTGAACAATAGTCTCATCATTCATATGAAAATACTTACCTTAATATTACTAGCCCGTATGAAAACGGAGATATGGAGATTTTTTGGCACATTACAAGAAGAAAATATTTGTACATGAATAAAAAGGTTGAATACAACCAAAGAAGAAAGAAAGCTGTTTGTGTTGCATATAAATCTTTTTAAAATAAAAATGATCAAACACGGAATCTGATCGTGTTAGGTAAATAAAAAAAAAATGAAGGATTAAACTTCATGTGTCCAAATTTAATTTTGGAATTTGTGGTAGGTAAATAAAAATGATGTATTTCCTCTATTAAATATATATGGTCCAAAGTTATTGGCCATTTCCTTACCTTCCTCGCAGGTGTGTAGAAGGTGCTGAAAATATGCAGATGGTCCCCCAAAGCTGGCCGCCTCAAACCATTGCCGACCATAAAGTTTTTAATCGATGTTAAATTCGAGTTTTTAAACTTTTGCCCCTCAAAACAATTAGTTGGAAGCACTCTTTTGTTTTTAATTATCTACATTTGAGCGACAATTCAACCCACTCCATTTGAATTATCCAAAGCGCGGTGCGTGCATCTATTACATATGTACTAGTGAGTGTGGTACTCTCGTCCCGTGCACGAACTAATTTTATTAAGGTAAACAATTATATTTGAATGATTAGAAGAACGTAAAACTATGTATTGGAATAAAACAAAATGTATCTTATATATTATTAAACAGAAAACGTAAAAATTAAGTATTTGAATATAACAAAATGTAACTTATACATTATTAAACAGAAAACAATGTACATCCGTACGTGTAAATCTTATCTAAGAAAATAAAAATTTGACACCTAAATATATTAGGATTCTAAATAGGCTTAAATAAATCAATCAAATTATTTAGCAGGATATCTATGATATGATTTATATTGGTTTGTGAAGATTGCATAGCAAAAATAACAAAGATTGTAAAATGTCTTTCTTGATAATCTATAGCCTTATTATTTTAAAATTATAAATTACTCAATTTTAAGGAATGAAAAAAGTGTGTACGTGTATGCAATCAATTTCACATTTGTATTCTATAGGATTAAACAAAACTCAAACTTTTAGGATGTTCCAATCCGATTTCGTTTTGAATTTCAAATTAATAATATCTAGCTCTTTTTTTTGTTAAAAAAAATTGAACTAAAGAAAGTAATAGCCAAATGATATGGGATGTTTAAATTTTAATTATCAATTTGAAATTGAGTCGATTTCTATGCAATTCGTTTTTTTTTAAATAAACATGATTTGTTGCAATTAGGCAAAGATACATGTTATAATATTTTGCCTACTTCGAAATTCTCGATTTTATGGTAAATATTTTTATAATAAAAAATGAGAGAATTTGGACTTTTACAAAATTGTCATGCCGAATATACCGAAATTAACCTGATTTCTATGCAATATGATTTTTTTTAATAAAAAATTGATCTGTTGCAATTAGGAATAGATATATGCTTTTTCCTAATTCGAAAATCTCAATTTTATGGTAATATTGTTTTAATTAAAAAATGAGAAATAATTTTGACTTTTGCAAAATTGTAAGCACCAGTCTAAATATACCTAAATCAAATCTACAAAACCCATAAATTTAGGGTCCATATATAGATGGTCGATTCTTATGGAATAACTTAAAAAGAAAATCGAAAAACTGCCGAAAATATTTTGTAATAAATGTTGGTTGACTTTTCTTATTACAATTTTTAGTAAATAGGTTCTCTTTTTTATGTATGTATAGATACATATGTATATAATATGTATTGTTATGATTTTATCCTATATATAATATTTTTTTTTAAATAACGATGATTTGCGTTTCCATCTGATTATACGATTCTTTAAATTTATGATATGCAAGTTGGAACTGGATACTTTTGATTTTTTTATTTAAATAAAAATAAAAAAATAAGTGAACAAAAACAAAAAAGAAAAAAAAACGAATGAACAAAAATAAAAAAAAAACACGTATTACGCGAATATGTTTTACAATATAACACGTATTCTCATAATACGTTTTACAATGAAATAAAATAAGTAACGTGATTAACTTAATTAAATTAACACACAACGGGATTAACTTAATTAAATAAATATAAAACGTACTTTATAAATACGTTTTATGTATTAATATAGTTAAATCGTATTTTTAAAATACGATTTATTAATAAAATGAATTTTATATAATATATAATACAAAAAATAAATTTAAAAAGCTTAAAAACGCATTTTCATCATACGTTTTATAAATAAAAATAAATTTTGTAACTTATTTTTTATGAAAATATATTTTTTAAACACAAACTTATTACGTAAATACGTTTTACAAGAAAACGTATTTTCAAAATACGGTTTAAAAAAAATGATTAAAAAAACGTATTTTCTGAATACGTTTTACTGTACAGAAACAGTACCTATGTAGAAAAAAATTAAAAAAACAACATGTTTATCAGCATCGATTCCATAACCAAATATTAATTCCAGAAACTAATAATAAACAGTAAACGGAAGCTAACATACACCCAAAATTCAACAACAATAATTTATTCAAAATACAAATATGTCAAAATATCAATATACAAATTTCAAGAAAAAAAAAACAAAAATGTCCACAAATTTGTACAACACAAACTAACTAGGAGTGTATGGATTGGGGGTCTGCGCTGTCGGGAGCCCATCCGACGCTGTGGTAGTCATGAAGAAGACGAGGTTGTGGGCGTGACAGCTTCTTATTCTTTATCTGAGTAATTCATTTTTTTAAAAAAATCAGAAATTCCATTCCACTGACAAAAAATAAATAAACAAATAATTAACAAATAGTATTCAAGTTAAGTAAAAAATTGTCACCTTCTTCTTGTTCTTCCTTAGGCCCGGTGTTGGCAACGGGTTTGCAGGCACGACGTCTTCTACCTCCACCAATGTCGGTAGCGGGTTGATGCCTCGCCCTGTGCGACTGCGTCCTTTGGGGTCGGACGTAGCTCTCCTGAGATAAAACTTGACTCGACGACGTCCCGACCTCTTGGCTTCCGACATTCAGTCCACCGTAGAGAAGGTTTTGGAACTCCCGGATTTTATATAAAGGGGGTGAGCCTTTCTTCTTCAACACGATTTTTCCATTATTCACTTCAGTATACTCATACACATACTGACTTAAGCATTGGAGGCTCTTCACCGGACAAAACCCCCGGTGTGAGAGTTATTTGCAGGTTTCCGACGTTCTATTGGCGAGGAAAAGAATCGATCTATCCCAAACCGAACCAGGGCGTTCACACTTGCATTATTGGCACCATCTGTGGGGACATCTTGTTC